GCAGCGCAATTGCAGTGCTGCAAGGAAGACAGTTGCGGGGGGGCAGGGAAACGTTACACTTCTTGTGCAATAACGGCTTTAGGGTGGGGATGCTCGAAGTAAATAGTTTAGGGCTTCTTGAGGGTTGATTTAGGGTTTGGGGCTTAGTGAGGATTTATTTGGGGTTTGTCGAGGTTTTAAGTTGTGATTAGGGTTTAAGATTTTTGGGTTGAGGGTTTATTTTGGATGCAGAGTTTGGGGAAGAACAGACTTTCACCCAAAAGCCTACAGTAACACTTAAGTAGAAGGACTATGGAGTTCCCCGGAGTCAGACTAAGATCCCCATATACACCATGTTCTATGGAATTCAGAGGGACTATACTATACCCAAAACCCCCAACCCAAAACCGCGAGCAGGCCTAAAACTCGGGGTACCTTTCTCGGGTCCCGTATAATATGTATAATAAGGACTGCAGTATTTTGGAAACTACCAAGTGGAACAAAGCAATTACCTCCCAAGGCATGCACTGGTTGTAGTCCGCCACCATCCACTGCGCTGCAAAGGTACCCGTGTTCGTACGGGAGAACCGCTGCACCTCGTCAGCATTCATGAAGGAGTGATTCAATGCAAACCAGGGCTACCAAGAACACTGGGCATACGATTGAAGCTCTGAAACCAGCCCCAGGCCCCAAAGTCCTGAACCCTAAAACGCTTCAACCCCAGCTTGGTCGTACAGGGCACGAGAAAAGTGCAAAGGTCGAAAGATGTCGGGTTATAAGCAGGATGCACATGTGACCTACTCGGGGTACCAACCGCATGCCCCAAGCATTCATCATACTCATAGGCTCGCAGTCTGCCGGTCTGGGCCAGACTGGGTGCTGGGCCCAATCAGGGGAGGACTTCGCCAAGCGGTTCACAGCCATGAGGTGCATAAAGTTCCTGAGCTTCACAACAAAGACGAAGCACCTTTGTCTTGAAAAGTCGGTTTAGTCAAGTTCCTGACCTGCAAGCCAAGCCAAAACATGTCTTATGACATTTTAAGACACTTGCCATGGCCGTCGGATGCCATCAGTACCAAAGGCCTGCGCCGCTGCTCCGGCCAACACACGAACCCTCCCTGCAAGTTTTCTGCGCTTTCTGTCTTTCTGCGAAGGAGGAGGACGACGGAGGCAGGCGCATCTATTATCATGGCGTCTCGCTCTATCACTGAAATCAAAACCATGAGAACTATCTGATCCAGACCATTTTGGTGGCTGTGCCTCAAACCCTGAAATTGGCTCGAATGTCCACGTAAACTTACAAGACTCTATCGCGCGTTGCGATCCTGATTGGAAAATGATGCTCAAGCGCACTGGCTGGCCATACCACCTGCATGGAATTGTCTGCATGCTGACGCACACCTATCTCTAACTTGAATGACTCTCAAATTGCGCCACGGTTCGGGATGCTGTGGAAGCGAGGGAAGTCCAGGACCCTCGGTACTGCTACGGTGCACAGAGCCACGCTTCAGAAGCTCCAAGGCCCTGGACTAAAGACAAGTAGCATTTGCTAACAACATGTGGGCTAATCGCTTTCACAGTTTCAAGAAAATCTGCCAGAAACATCCAGCATGGGGACGCGGTACTTAACCATTCTTTAGGGAGCTGGAGGTCCCTATCAATGTGTTTCGGGCTTACTTTCAGGAAACCCTCGTGATGCCAAAGAATTGCATATTCTTACTAAGCCGGACGCTTGTCCCAGACGTTTGGGTCCAGGATGACCAAGGAGGTCTCCATCGCAACGATACCTTGGGAGATGAACTTTCTACAGCTCATTTGCCTAGGAGGTAGATTCGAGAGAAGACATCAACTGGCAGAAACATGGAAGCAAAACGAAAACAGGTACCCTGAGGCCCGTTGCCACTGTTCATCTCGTAGAAGTCATCCGTGCCTTACAGCTGGTCACACAAGCAAGCCGCTACGAATATGCATTCATCAGGCGACCCTGTGTGCAACGGCACATTTTGCAGCTGCTTATGGCTGTCTCTATGCGGCCAGGGGCTGCAGCAGTAGGGCTGGCAGCCATTGCTCGGGGCTACCTGGCAAAGGTCTGGGACCGCCTGGGAGGTGCTCCTTGATCTCGGTCTCGAAGCTCTGCAGCTCCGCGGGAAACTCAAAGCGCTTGCAGAGATCCACCACCGTCTGAGCGTATCGTTCAGAGACCTCTGGGTCCTTTCGGCAGTGGAGCACCTGCACTTCTGGGACTGGTGCATCCAGATCGACATCCCTGGCTTTCAGGCATTGGTCCTGCATTTTGCCTGCAAGGAATTGGAAGGCAGGTATGGCACAGCCACAGAGGATGACGCCCAACATCTGAGCCTGAACCTCAGGTGGTGCTGTCTTTGATAGCACCGAATATGCAGCTACAGATCCCCCCTGCGAGAAGCCTCCAATCCAGACTTTGGGAGGAATCTTGGAAGCCTGCAGCTCAACCTCCAGCAGGTTGAAAAGCTGCTTGCAAGCCACCTCCACTTTCTCCAAGCAATGCAACTCTGCAACGCTTGGCTTTCCAAAGGAAACATTGGTGGCAGGGTCTTTTGCCGCTTTTGCAATGGCATCTTCTGTTGGCATCTCGTGCATCTCATACCACTCCATGCCCTGCGCCACAATGGCCTGGTCTGTCCAGGAGTGCCAGGGCTGCTGCACGCCTGCAACGAGAACACGGAGAGAGCCAATACTCGAGGAGACCGAGGCAAGCGCTTGCCGCCAGAGCTCTGGAGGCTCCTTGTTGCCAGGGAGCCAAACCAGCAGTCTCTCCGCCTCACCGCGGCTGGGCCCCAACTCACAAGCCACTGGCAGGATGGAGCTCTCTGGAGTCATCAGAAGAGGGTCGAAGAGTGTAGTCTGTAGCACTGTCTTCTGCACCATCTCTTCCTCTTCCTGTTCAGCCTTAGCCACGTCGGCTGCCTCCCGCTGTGCCTTGCGCTCCTGCGCTTGCTGGGTCTCTGATGCCTTCTTGCGCTCCTTCTCTGCAGAAGGGAGCCTGAGCAAAGTGACGTCGTGGCCAGCCTGCGATACGGCCTTGCGCAAGCCTTGCAGGGACTGGTGCTGGTCAGCAAGGTAATACCCTGCACTGAACAGCTCGTCCCGGGCATCCTCCAAACGATCGCGAAGCTCCACGCAGACCATCTGCACCTGATTCGAGGTTCGCTCCTCCTCGGTGGCCCTCCGTCGCACATAAGGCCGCAGCTTGTCAGCATATTCAGCCAAGTCCAGATATCCCAACGGCTCAATGACAAGCACCACATCAAACAGCTCTGGAGAGGCCAGATGCCTGAGCGAGGGCAAGTCCTCTAACACAAAAAGATCGAAATCTGAATAATGAAGAACAGGATTTCTCCAATAACTTTGACCTCGTACGCAAAGAAGGTGAAAGATAGCCGCACATGTTTTGTCGGATGCATATAGCAATCCAGGCAGAACGGGATCTGCTCTATTCACGCTGCAAATGCCGTGCACACGGAACCCCCAAGTCTCGGAGTTAAGAAGCCTTACGTTTCGCAGCTCTCAGCTCAGGGAACGAACTCCGGGGCCGCAGAACAGCTCTTGATCGGCATCAACAACCCTTCATCTTTACTTTAGTTACCTTTGCTACTAAAGCTGGCACCATGGACCTGCTATTCCTTTGATACTATATCACTGCTCCATTCTCCGCATGTGATACACTCACCAAGTTGCGGATCGCCAGGGATTGCCTCCGGCACAGGGAGAAGGACCGTCGTCATGCCTGTGGACCCAGCTCACATGCGCTACATCTGTAGGACTTTGGCAGCAGCCAAAGTCTAAGCTGCCTTCTTTCTTTCAGAGCCGGCTTCTGGTACGCCTTGGGGTCTAGAATCGGGACCCATGTCCAGGATTCAAGGCCCAGTTGGTTGGGCAGTTGACTCAATATCTCAACCAACATGTGAAGAGAAACCGTCAAAAATCACCCGGCCTTGTGCACTCGCACTCAGGCGCTCGAGAGACGTATCTCCCAGCACAACCTGCAGGATCTGATTGCTACCGTAGAGCTGCGGCACCAAAACGTGCGCGAAGCTGGTGACAGTGCGCAGATGCTAGGCAGATGCAGTGGAAGGAGATGCAATCCAGTCAAAAGCTCTACAAAAACATGTTCTGACAAGGGCTCCCAACTTGCAAGGCTGCAGAACCCACTCTCTATCCCGCCTGGTGGCCCTCTACAGCCAATCGGGGAGCCACGGCCCGAGCGAGACGGCCCAAAACAAGGAGCCGCACGGAGGCCTTTGTGCCAGTTGTCGGGAGGGCTGAGTGTGGTTGGGATCTGAGACTCGGAAACCTGGCCTCCCCAAACAATGGCCGCAGCGCAGTCGCAAGGGCCCCTGTTGTGTCAGGTGACAGGTTTGCGGGCCGCCGTTCTTCAGCGGCAGCAGCCTCTTCAGGGGGTCGAGGGGTTGCAAATGCCGTGCTTCTGGTTGATGATGATGATGATGATGATGATGATGACGATGTATCTAGTGTGGACGGGGCATTAGCAGTTTCCTGTATACGGCTTGAGGACACACCCAGCATCGGCTAGCTTGGAGTAAGTTCAAGGCTTCTGTCACATCAGCAACACACACAGCGTAGACTCCCCAAGGGCAACTGCACGAATGACTGCGCCAATCCCGTCCTTGGCGAGGCTCTCGCCCACCGCCTGCCCAGCCAGCGTGCGTACATCGAAAATCTCCTGCATCACCCGGGACTGCTGCTGCTCGGTGAGGCCCAACTCCTCGCTGTCGAAGCACTGGCGGAGCTTCTCCTTGCTGGCCTTGTTGGCATGCATCAGCCGAAGCAGCTTAGCCAGCTGCAGCCTTGTTTCCCCATGGTCACTGCGGATGAAAAACTTCAAGAGAGAAGACAGCATCTCTTCTGTTATCCTCTCAAAGCACCCCAGCTGGCTGCACAGCTGTCCCACCAGCTCCGTGGTTGCAAAAATGGATCGAGGTTCTGCGTCGGCCAACACACTCTGCAACACTTGGACAGCCCCAGTGAAGCAAAGGTCCGTATGGTCTCTTGCAACACGCAAGCCCAGCTCGGTATCCATGGCACATTGCAGCACGCAGCTGGCACTTCGTCGCTGAGTAGGTCCCGTCAAGGTTGCCTGCAAGTGGCTTGGTACAGGGTTCGCCTGCGGCCAGGGAAGATGCAGAAGCGGCATAAACGCGTGGAATCCAGCCATTCGTTTGGCGACCTTGTCGTTGTGAGGATGGTGCTGTACGAGTAGCTCAAGCAGAAGCAGTGCCTCACTCGCAATGTTCGGCGGGGCTACGATGAAGGGCACCAGGACGCCCCAACCGAAGGGTCTGTCAAGCACATCCTGCGTCCACTCTTCAGCAGGAGCTCGGGGCGCAATCCCTTCTCGAGGAGTCTCCTCACAGCCTCGATCACAAGTAGCGCGGAAGTGCGCGACGAGGAACCGCATTAATGCTGTTGCTAGCTCCTCCGGATGGAATGAACCATAACCCTTCTTCAAGGTTTGAGTAGGCTTCAACTTGAACCACTCCATCTTGACCTTGCCAGAGGGCGTCTGTATGTCCCGATGCACGTCAACCCCTGCATCTCTTCGAAGCTTGGCGGCACAAGATACCCACACCTTGCCCACCAGCTCGGGAGACAGGGATTTCAAAATTCTCGGGTTCTCTGACCAAGAGCTGAGCAGGGCTAGCACAACTCTGCGCACTGCCGCTCCGCTGTGCATGACAAAGCCTCCTGAGAGCCCCGAGCCTACACGCTCACCGATAAAGCACTCTACAAAGAGAGCCAGCGCCAGTGCTTCAGAATTGTCCAAACGCTGGGTCTGAGCCGCCAGCTCCTGCAAGACCTCCGAAGTCGCGGCACGGACTTCATCGAGGCCCTCACTGCCAAGGCGGTCATCCAGCTTCCGGACCCAGGAGCGCAGGCAGCGGGCCAAGAATCCCTTAGCCTCCACAAGAGTGTCGGCAATGAAAAGCCTCTGCCTCAAGCGATGTCTCAGCAGTGATTGCACCAGGTGTAAGGCACGGTTTGGATGGCGTGTAAGCCGAGCCACCATTTTGGGAATAGACGCAAGAAGCCGACGCAGGTCGCCCTCCCCAGGCAGCTCCCGAGACACTGTGCAAAAAGCTTGCAAGACGACAAGAGGCCAGGCATCTTCGGCATCCTCATCATCAGACTCGGACACCGATGAAGAAGAGGAGGTTGACAATGAATCGATCACGACGTCCAATATGCCATGTCCCCTGAGCAGGAGGCCCAGGGATTGTCGCAGTCCTGAATCCTCTGAAACTCTGGCTTCTATACGGCTTAACTGGCTCGCCAACGCTTGGGACAAGTCTGAGAGCTGCTGCTCCACAGCAAAGTCTTGGGCATCCGTCGTCTTGTCCTTCTGCTTGGAGTCAGCCCACTCTGCTGCTGTCTGCCGCAATTTCAGTGCTGCTTTGTGGATTCCCAAGAGCGCATGCTCAGCCCCAGACTCGTCAGCCTGCTCACAGGAACGCAAGACCTCAGCCTCCTCGTACCAGGCCTCCACCTCGGCACCTGCACCTCGCGGCCCACGCAGCCGTGAGAGGGCTGGCGCTGCTTGGCCCAGACGCCCGAGGCCTTTCCAGGCCTTCGCCAGGCGAACAGCCGCCTTGGCGTGTTGCGGGTCTCGGGCCAACACAAACTCGCTATCCTCCAAGGAGGTTTCCCACAGCTGCTGCCTTAACCGGGCTTCGGCGCGGTTGGCGAACAAGGCAAGCCAAAGCTCACGCAAGAATCTAGAGGACTCCAAAACCTCATCGTAGCCTAGCATCATGTCAATGGCCTCGCCATAGCACCTCTCTGCCTCGTTGGGCTTGCCAGCCTTCATGGAAGCGTTACCCTTCTCCTTCAAGGGTCCTGCAGTGTTGAGGAAGTACTCTTCCCAGCTGGTTGCACGGACTGTCAGGGGTGCAGAGGGCGGACCGTAGAAGCATTGCCAGCCAACACCTGGGACCTCCAAGTCGTTGGTCCGGACACCATAAAATGGCTTGCGATCCTTGGATAAGAGCCAGCCGAACTGATACCGCTCATCATCGGCTCCGATCTGATCGAGCTCTGGGACTCTGTCCATGTGTAGGACCCAGCCATCAGTGTTCTGGTAGACCGGCGCACCTTGGGAGGAAGCTTCTGTAAAGTCGTACCTCCCGTTACACTCTGCAAGGCCACATCCTGAGATGTCGTAGCAGCAGGCTGCCTCTGAAAGATGAGCTTCAAGCTGCTGCTGGGCATTCGCACGGCGATGTGCAACGGCCTGCGCATTTGCTTCCTGCTGGTGAAAGACCGTCCGACTCTCCCTGACCTCCATGCCCATCTTTTGCTCAAACTCCGCAGCCTCGCGCTCCTCCTCTTTCTGCTGTCGCTCTTCTTGGCGATGCGCATGGATCTTTCGAAGCGCTTTAGGCGGTGGGATGGGCTTGTTGCCAACATGAGCATAGAGGCTGCCATCTTTGTCCAGCTGTCTACTACCGCCATACTGCTGCTGTAGCGCTCTGAGAGCGTTGGGATCGCCAACACGCTGTGGCGCATCCAAGGGAAGCGTGGCCGGCATTGCTCAGGTTACCAATGAAGGTGACACTTCTTGATGCTGGGTAGATTTAATCAATTCGCATTGGATGCTCCCATGGAGTGTCTTGAAGGTTCTGAGCCTAAAAGCTTCTCTCAATAGAGCACCGCGTCAGTCCCAGCAGACATGAAGATACAAGTTTCCAAGCAGTCGACTGCTGTCTGCATAGGCGAACTACATGTTGCACGTCTTGATTTAAGATGTGGACTGGTGATGACACCCGGGTAGGATGAAAACGAGATCTTGGTCGCTGCGGTCTCCGCTTCTGGCAAAGAGAAGTTGTAGAACCTACGCGAGCGCACTGTCAGATTAAGTCCTGGCAAATCACATGTTACTTGCGGCTCTGCTTGTCGCACATGAGCTGCATCAGCAGCAGCAAGGAGCCATGGACAGTTCTCCCTAAGAGCCACCCTTAAGGTAGGGTCCAACACAAGCAGCCCCGGCATGTTTCAGACAGGGCGCTTGAAGATCCTCATCATCTTGCTATAATCGTCCCACGTTGCGTGACCTGGACTGGGCTTCAAGGCTTCAAGCCTAGCGGCTTGATTTCCTCAATGTCTTGGCATAGAATATGAGGTTACAAGCAGAACTTTTGGGGAGTATGGTCCAGCAATGTATCTGGCAAACACACTGGCAAAAGTGCGGAGGTGGCTTGGAAGGAGGATTTAGTGACTCCTTGTCTCTGCTATTGTTGCAAATTGACCTCGTTGAGCAATTGCTCCAAATCGAAGACCAAAGATCAGGCCCAAGTAAGCAAACATGCAGATATACCAGCTTCCAACCGAACTTGGCTAATACTGATGCTACTGACTCCTGACACTCTCACTACACACCATGGAACTTCTGCAGGGAACAGTTGTGAACCATGGCACACTCCCCATACGCAGTCAGGGACTTGACCACTCAAGCATGCAACATGAAGATCTGACTCATCAGCAACTTCCACCATTCCAACAATCTGAGTCATGTTTGGGGACCCCAGGCCCCAAGCCCATGTACAGGTCTGTGTCACCGTCCGCAAGACGGACGAGCGCAGAGCATCGACCGCTCCTTGTCCAGAGTAATTAAGCACGGCTCCGGGTGGGGCTTTTCTTCTGTGTCCCGAGGATTCTCAGCACTCCCGGTTGGATCCAGCGTGATACATGCCTGCAGAGGTCTAGACCGTGCCCCTCTGAGGCTTGCACTCCACGACACGACGCTCCCAGTGCTCGTCGTCCAGAGCGTCCTTGCCATGAGGCACATTCAATACAGAACTCCCACGTATCAAGCTTAAATCAGTGGTAATGCAGCTCAGCAGAAGCATCCCGTCGTAGAATCAACACACTGCTCATGCTAAGTCGTAGGAGCAGCAGCAGTAACTGCAGCAGGCACAGCTTAATGACTGCTTCTCCATCCACTTAGGATAAGAGTTTTGATAAGAGTTCCAACGAATGTCACCACTACCACCAGCACCAGCCCCTTGGTAGCACTTTGCAGGAAGAAGAGCTGACTGTCATCAGGTATGCAATAGCACGCAGAAGCATAGAAGCAACGACAACAGCAGCAGCAGCAGCAGCAACAGCAACAACAACAACAACAGCAGCAGCAGCAGAAGAGCTAAGCGAATCTTTAAAGGATCATGATCCTTGCCACGAGGAGCCAATAGGGAAGCAGCCACGGATGTGAGAGAAATTTCAGATTCTGCGATCCCAACGTGTGCTTCATGCAGTAGACAAGATTTTCACCCAAACAAGACCAGAAATTTCCAAAACCGCCACTTACTCCCAGTCAGACTTCACGGACAGCCCATCCTCGTGCCGACTTTGACTGCGCTGTTGCAGGAAGGAAGGTGCCTCCCAAGTTGCTTCCGAACCCCCTAAAAAACATATGCTAACACTTGTGCTTATCATTAGTGGTTACAGTTGCAGCAAGAACATTGTGTGGTAGGGACATGACACGGAACGAAGCATGGCTAATGCTACTGCGGACGCGTACCACTACAACAGTTCTTCTTCCTGGAGGATTCAGGAGGACTGTGCACGGGCAACGACCTGCACTGAGCTGGTTCTCTAGGATTGGCTACTAGAATTTCGGGGTAAACGGTAGGGTTTGCAGTGGGCCACTTGATCGAACCTGTTGCTAAGGCCGCTGTGGCCTGAAACTACTTGCCAAATCCAAATTCAAGGAGGAAAGGACAGCAAATCACAGAGCCCTTGTTAACAATGCTGCCTGAGATCGGGCAGCCCGGTGCTCCTTCCTGTCTGGTGTGTAGGCCTGCACGGTGGAAGAGGGTTTGTCAGGCTAAAGGCAAAGGACTTTGACTTTGAGGATGCAGCATCCTAGGACGCCCTAACGGTTGGTAGGCCAGCCGTAGCTCGACGACTCATGGCCGGTGTACACTAGGTACGCCCACCCCCATGCCCCACAACGCATTACCAAGCAGGCATCGAGGGCATTGAATCAAAAAAGGCTATGCAAGTATCCATGGTGGCCAAAATCATGTTAAACATCTTCAGGCCTAGTTAAGCAAGCCTTGATACCCCGCCAGGTCTGGACCCTAAGATGGCATTGTCCGTTAGCTCAGTCTTCTTAGGAAGAGCGCTTCCTAATTCTGGAATTAAAGCAGGGCCTTCACCCCACAACCCACAAGAGCCCAGAAAAATCGCAGCTGCGTCTCAAGAATCGCAGTGCCCCATCCCGCCCCAAGCACGCAAGTAAGCAAGTGAAATGGCACCTTCTTGCAGACACTAAACATCATCAGCCTTGAAATCCTCCATCCGACCCGAGTCTTACTTAGTGGTCATCTGGAAAACAGTGAGTTTTTCTCAAGCTCAAGAGAACGGGACACGTGCGGGTCACGGTCACATGGTTCGTGAGATATCTGTCTCCTTATGTCTCTTTACTCAGATAGCTTGCGGTCCACGCTCGCAAAAACCTGACCCAGAATCTGAAATCAGAATTCCACTGACACCGGACCTGAAAGCCCTTAAGCCTGAACACCTGAACCGCCTTCAACCCTGGATCCCGAACTCCAGGACGAAAAAGGACGTGCCTGCATCAGCTGCGGAAGCTCGCCTCCAGCCTTGGAAATATCAACAAAGCAGTCTGCAATAGTCTGTTCATGCTGACTACGGCGGTGAATACTAGAAAATCCTGCATGACCTACAGCAAGGTCATGCAGGATTTTGAGTATCAACAGTGTCACATTGGGGTCGGAGGTATTTGATGAGTATGTAACCTGCTTGCAACGTCATCTGACCAAATGGAGCATGTGGGTTTGACCTTTTAACATCAAGGCCTACATCCACTGCAAGCATGGCCACTGCTATCATGGCCACCTCTAAGCCCTCTACGGTTGAACCTCATCTTCTTGTGATGCACTCACCGATTTGAAGCTCATGGTCAACCAGCTGAGCTGGAAGAGAACCATGCAAGGGCATGCGGAGATGCAGCAGTACAGATTTGAATGTAAGGCAGCTGTTTGGGGTTCTGCCCCTTCTCTCAGGGCTGGACAAGCGATTCCGTGGAATCATAGTCCAGGGTATAACGGATTGTTATAGGCTCGGGTGTTGAAACTCCATGAGCCATTACCAAATTCAAAGCATTTCACAGTGAGGCCCAAGTCCTGTATCTGCAGATAAGAGGCTTTGGAACTGGCTCAAACCCTAAACCCTAAAGGCCCCGGCATTCATAAAAAGCATGTCATCCAATTCCAAGGTCTCACCGCCAAAACGAAGAGACGCGGCGTTGTAGCCTTACTGCATCCGAAACGTTTGGCACGCAAGCTCTCTGCAATCAACGCCGCAATTCGAACAACGGGAAGGCTTCAACCTTGAGCCTCCTGAGGCCTTCCGTTTACGGTAGCTAGCTGTCACTCTCACTTAGGCGGCGACCGTCCAGCAAGCCCCACATCTGAAAGAACCTGGGGAGCTCAGTAAGTAGGCACAGTAGGGGACAGTATGGCTTCAACAGGTTTGGCTAGCTTGGTGCCACTATAGGTCTGAGGAAGAAGCCTTTGAATCTGAGTTCAAACTTGCTGAAGGTTTTCAATTTGATTTTCCATTCTAGGGGGGATAATATCTCTCAACCCTAAACCCCATATTATAACCCAATATAAGGCCCTATGCCCCTATGTAACCCTATTGTTAAGCAACATCAAGGCTTCTCTTCAGCCGGGATTAGCCCGCAGGAAAGGCAAGGCAAAGCCAAAATCATGCTCCGTGTACTTCAACGAGAAGCCTCAAAGAAGGGAGAGTCTTACGGCGAGAGATGAAGTTTCCAAAATTGTTGGGCCCTTTTTTGGGAGTCTCTATACTGAGGAAAATCATATATTGGGTCTGTATTGGAATTGGGCAAACGCCATACCAGTCTCATCTAGCTTTCCTCTCATGATAGAGGCCCTGCACTCAAAAGACCCTTTGGAACAAGGATAGATGCTGACATTTGGAGCCATCTTTAAGCAGACAAGCTGTGTGCCTTTAAATTGTCTGGGCAACCACTCTACACAGTTTAGAGCTGTGGTATTACACGTATGATAAAAGGACTAGCAGGAAGTTAGCACACCTAGAGTGGTCCGTGTCCACCTGGCAATTAATTAGCAGCTCAAAAGCTAAATCCTGAGCCTTCCCTCCATGTACTGAGGGCCTAGCGTGTAACGCACCTGCTTCCAGTACGGGTCCTTGGGCTCTTCAGCGAAGACGTGCTTCCTTTGCCAGGCCGAGAAAGCAAGGACATGGCGTGGGCTTTTGTAGCTAAGAGGCTCATGACATATTGCATTGTGGCTGACTGCACCAAGTCCCCTGTAAAAGACGCTTCGATCCTGCAGCTGTTCGGTTCTTACAACAAAATCTAAGCTCAAAATCATCTAAATCTAGCACATTCACATGCGTCCACACTTCTAGTGTGCTCGCGTGCGCTCTGCATGTAAGCACTACGAAGGTGCTGCTATGGGATTGCACGAGGCCATGAACAATCCTTCCCGCAAGACTCCGCCGCTTCACCCTTCATTCCTTTCAAATCTAATTGACCATGAACTTGCCTGTCAAAAGCGCAACCTTCCTGCTGCAATGAACCTTCAATACTTGCCTAACAAGCCTCTGGATGCTCTGATTGGTAAGGCCCCCGCTCCATGTTGGTCATGAACCGCGCATGGGCCATCCTGGCACCAACGACAGACAGGATTTGCCGAACTTGGAGTTGACAAGAGAAGACCCTCTTCTGTCCTTATGAGCTTAAAGGATGTCCAACCTGGAACCTCTGTACGTTACCAGGGAATCTTGTCAGCTGGACTGATTTTGGAACAGCTTGCGAACGCCGGGCAGCGCATTGGCCTGAGCAGCTCACCAATGAATTCAAAGATGCTTATGGCTTGTGGCGTTTCTGGAATTTGTAAACAAGAGAGTGTAACAACTGTGACTATAGAAACATCATTTGGGGCGCCAGTTTGGCGTGCCTCTTTGGGACCTCGCAGCATCTAACTATCGGTCTTTTCAGGTGTGCTCCCTTGTCAGGCCAGCACAAATATTGCATGAGCTGCAATTTCAAACACAAGAGATGCAAGGCATGATCGAACAGCTGCACTCCAAATCCTGTCAGAAATTCTGCTTTAGTCAATGAGAACGTGCTTGCCCCAATCCTGTGCGCTTGCTGACAAACCAGCATTGACCGTCAGAGCCACCTGTAGCTCTTGAACAAGGCTCTGACAGTCTTGTCTTTTGCCAGAAGAAGCCTTGCGAAAGCCGCTTCACCGGGAGACTTGACACGGTACGACCATGATGACTGATGTCAAGAGTGCGCAGCTTACCAAAATGCTTGGCTTTGAATGCTCCAGCAGAACTTGGCAGACTACATATAACCCTACTATAACCCTAATATTACCCCAATATATCATAGTAGTTTCCATGTTATTTTCATTATTCCCCATATAACCCCAATATAGGCATCCCATCAAAGGCAGTCTGATCGAGCAGAGCTCAGCCGCGGATCTTCTTTCTAAACCATTTAATGCTAGAAACTGGAGATGCCCAGATTGCAGGGCAGGACAATTTCAGCGCTGTGAGGGTAAGGAAGGCTTAGGTTGGGGCGGCCTTAAAGCGACAGGCTCCGGAGTCTAATGGTTGTTCCCACATGCGTCTGTAAAGGACTGTGAGCCAAGGGACTTCTGGCTGTTGGCGTAGAACTCAGAGATACGGACGCACGTCAGCAGACCTTCTATGTAGCCTGCTGCCTCAGCTCCATCATGGAAAACTGATCTGCAGGGTACCCGGCGGAGAACACTAAGCGTTCCTACCAGTACTTGTTGAATAAACTCATCTTCTTGCCATGTGGGATGGGTGCTTGCCAGATCAAAAGCATGTCGGACTGAACCTACGGGCCCCATATGAGCTGTAGTCTAAACTCCTAGTATCCCCCCTTAACAACCCCTATAGTACTCCCCTTCATAATCCCCTGTATAAGCCCCTTTGAGGAGTTTAGGACTATGGACTATGGCTCATATGAGCCGCAGCAGAAGTCGCAAGCCTAGAGCCCCCGCAACCTTACCAGCCTGGGGCCCTCACGTACATCTTGATGTCATTCGCCATGGTCAGGTCGTCTGCAGTCTGAACTTGAAGCTCAGACCTAAAGCGCCCGGCTTTCTTCAAGAATCATGGTGACTAACTTACTGGGGGGTTAGCGGGAAAAATGAAATATCATCCCTACAATGGGTGGGGGTTATCACACATCAGTCGGTGAGAATATGCATCTCCGCATGTAGATGCTGCATCAGGGAAAATGTATATACATCTTTTGGAAAATCTTACATGACGGGATGCAAATCCGGCGCTGTGTTATGAAGAGCCGGACAGAAGGTGAAAAAAGCCGCTTATGTGGCAGATGCCAAAATTTGCTGTATGTTTCACATGCATTTCGGCCACCCTAGGTCAGCAAATCCCCAAGGAGACGCCGCATTGCCAGTTTTGCAAGCCGATTGCGCATGCGAGTTTTCACAAAGATTGGGGGCTGGGCCCGTTGGAGGGCCTAAGCGAGAGGACCCCACCTCATCTGCCTGTGCCTGGAATCACAACCACATGAGACCGATAAAGAGCAGGGGAATGAGAGCGGCACCACCAAAACCCTAGAGGCCAGCCTTCTCTCCAATTTATCACGTTGTCAAGTTGTTTTACTCTTCTCGTTTTCCAATCAAATAACATAAGCTGTTACATTATCGTTGTATTATGCTTTATTTACTCTTAACGTTGCCCCATGGTCTGCGCACGCGGATGAATTGTGTCAGTTCTATATAATAAACTGCAGAGACCCGGTTGTTTGTCCCAACTCTGAGATATGTTTTTGGTCGTAAGGACTTCCTTCCATCTTGGCCTGTTCAGCCTTGAGCATAGCAGGTTCTTGGGTTTAGGCCCGCTGGCCTTGAACACTTCCCATCTGAGGCAGCAGCCACCCTGTGGTGTGGATGTTGTCGTGATACTTTCCCCAGGCGACGCCGCCTTGGGGCCTGGCACAGGCGAGCTCCCACCTACCAGAAAACCTGCAAGTTTTAAGTGCCTGCAGTCCCTGCTGAACCCCAATCACCCTGGGTCTCATGGTGGAACACCTCTTAACATGAAACCGCGATCAATACTCCGCCATCTAGAAGCCCCCGGTAGGGGTGGAGCAGTGCCTTGATTGTAGTTCTAGCCTGAACAAGTTGCGAAATGCCCACACAACTGGGCTGCAAAACTAGCCAGAGACTCAACAAGCCCCTGTATCCCTGGAAAGGAGCATCAGCTGTTGCTCTGAAAGGCTTGTGAAACATGCAACATAGTCTGCGCATAAAGATCTTGTTTTCTCGGCGGTATGTGTCGGGCCCTTACTGCATCACTCTTGAAGCAATGTGCTTGTCTGAAAGAATTGTACGGATCGCAGGCTTGGAGGATTTCTCAGTGCATACTTCGGCGTCATTAGATACAGATGTTTCCGGATTTTTAGAATCTCAGGACCAAAAAACCCGAACCATTGACAAAGGAAATGGTAAGGGATAAAGGCAAGGATGATGAGAAAAACTCGCAGAAGAATCAGAAGGGAAGCAAAGGCAAGCAAGTCACTGCTACAGGTCAAGCCTTTACTGTTTAGGGTTGAAGGGGTTCCCCGTATGCGTCGGTCATTAGCCCCGCCTACCCCGACGCAAACGACCCTAGCAACGCCCTCTCCCTGAGCTGCCGACAACATACCAGCTTCCAACTTGAGGGAACGGATCGTCTTGTCAAAGACGATCGTGAGTCCCTGCTGGCCGGCATTCACTAGGAGCAACGATGGTGGTGGGGTCAAAGAACATCTCACACGCCTGCTTGTTGCTAATATGTGCGAGTTCACAGGCGGTCACTGCTCATGCACAATGATTGGAGTTTGGGGGTGCTACTTGTCCTAGACGGCACACGCTAAACAGTGTTGTTCCCACAGCCCCATATGCCAAACTGGGTTGCCGTTGACGAACTTAAACTAAGTTACCATAATGGGTATATATGATAATAGACCGCCGAGGCCCAGAGCATGGAAGCTCTGAATTCACCTGGCCTCCTCCTCTTTGAGGTCAGACCTTGTCAGGAGCCCAAATGAGTAGCGTTTGTTTTGGTGGTTGAACCTAGTAAGATAATATTCCTTATATAAAATACTATGCCCCAAAAGGAGGATAGAATCTTACTCTA